ATAAAAATTTAATTTGAATTTCCTGTGGACTTTTTTTTTTGTGATAAAGATTGACAAACTTGAAAGAATTTTGTACTAAATTTTCAAATCTTAGATTTTAAAATAAAATTTTTTATGAATTTCTAGCTTAAAATAATTTGTAATTTTTACGTATTTTGTCAAAATTCAAACTTTAAATGCTTATAAAAAAAATTGTGACTATGAATTTATTTTATTTTTCAGCTGCTATTGTAACAATATTTTAAGAACCTTGTATTACATTTTCAAGCTTTTCTGCCTAACAAATAAATTTTTATAATTAAAAAAAACTACTAATGATCGAAAATTGCAAATATCTATACGAATAGTTCAACTTAAGACGAAAATTATATATTAGATAGAATATACTTATATACACATTCGGTGAAAATTTCATGTACCTATCTATGGTCATTTGTTTTAAATTTACATCAAAAACCAAAATCGATTTTGTCGAAAACTGATTGTGCGTAAAATKTCCCGTTTTTCCCTTAATTTTTAGTTTGTTTATTCCGATTATTTAGAAAAATATTAACTGAATATTTTACTTTTGACCCCCAAAGTACCAACTAGCTTTACTTTCTGATCGAACGAGGTACTGCAGTCGAAAATCGAAGCACTTTTACTGCCCCCAAAACGTGATGACAGACACAAAAAAAAGAAGAAAAAGTCGTACAAATGTAAAAATGTTTAAACTGAAAATCAACTAAAAATTTAATTGTACTGTATTGGCAAATTACTGTGATGAATTATAAAATTAATTCATCATGAGACTCCAATAGCCATAGCAAAGTTCTTATCTTAAATAAATTGTCAGCTGGAGTGGTTATTATTTCAGATGATAGTCCGTTACATAATTTGGTACCGATAACTTAAAAATATCTGATAGACGTGGTATTTTTGACTCTTTTAATTAAAAAATTGTTTTTAGCGTATCTTTTGTTTATTCCATGTATAATAGGTTGTAATAAATTATGATTTTTTTAAAATATAGCTGTTACTTTTAAGTATATAGTTTCCTAACAGGGAGTACATTAAACTCTGTATATCATTTTCTTGTTGGGTACAACCGTTCTGTATTGAGCAGTAGCCTAATGATTTGATTTCGACAAATTTGAAGCTAAGACAATGTATTTTCAAAAACGCCACCCCAGCCTATTATACCATATGTACGTATCGATTCCATCAAAGCTAGATAATAGTTTGCCGATGTTTTGGTAATTCTATAGAACTAAATTTATTAGTATGTACATCATTTTTCCAAGATTTTACATAATAGTATATAATATGTATTTTCCTAGAGTATGCATTCACAAATGTTCTGAACTTAAAAGTGTTTAGTACCCAAATTAATACCTTTACTACCTATTTACTTGATATTTATTCAAATATAATTTCCAATATATACGATGATAAAAATATAGTTCAGTTTTTATATCTGATGTTTTTTGTGACATCATTTGATTTAGACGAAAATTGTAAGGTAGTTGGTTCCAAAATTTATATTTCTCGTCGAATGGATTTTGTATGAATTTTGGTTGCCTGCGGCTCGCACCGTCGCCGTTCGAATTCTGGTCACGGGCGGCATCACTTCCCGCGCAGTTCATCACGCTGTCTGGAAAGAGAGGCCGCCGCCCTCTCACGGGCATGGCAGA